TCACACTTACAATCACACTCATGCACACCCAGGTCTTTTCTGACAGCTTGCAAAAATTTCCATTCTCCTTTTCATGCAGCCTTCACAATTACAAAGTTGAAATATCTTTGGCCATTTCCTCCCATGTTTATATAGCTCAGCTTTTCAAAGGGTTTTAAAAAATGGCTTAGACACACCTAAGAAAAATATGCATTTCTTTTCATTACTTGGCTAAAGGCCAAGATTTTGTAATCCTCATTTACCAAGAGAACAGTGTTCTCGAGTGTGCTATGTATCAGCAAATCAAAGATGCTCTTGATAGAGATTCACTTTTTTTAACCTCAAACAGCCCATGTCATCTGCCCATTTTCTTCTGTCCTTGGTGCACGCAGTCATTTGTTATCCGTAGAAAGAGTTATTTCAGTATTCCTATTGTACTGATGAATCTGACTCATATTTGCTGTTTGATAGAAAACAGACAATGCAAATCTCACCCTTTTACCCTTATTCTTTATAAGCCTCATAAGAACGTAGTAAAGTGAATAAAAATGTTCCTACTTTTCAGGGACAGTTTGTTCCTAAAAAGAGTTTGCTTAATGTCCTGAGTTCCCCAAAAGCAGAACCTGAGTTGATGTTTTATATGCAAGTGATTTATTGAAGATATATGCAAGAGATACTTGTAAGGGAATGCAGGCAGCAGAGTATCTATGGAGTGAGCCCAGCAGGGGTATAATTAAGGCACATTTTGCTCAGGCAGAGTCTTACAGAGCCTTCAAGTTCATCCTACAGAGGAGCTTGGAAGTATGACTTACACCTCAATTTTTTTCTCCTTTGAGGTCAGAGGGCTAGGCAACTGGCTAGGGATGGGCTGGGGACATATAAAACCCTAGGCACTTCCATCTCTCTAAATATCCCAGCAATGAGGCTCTAGATGTCCCCAAGGGAGTCCCTCAAAGCAAGTCAAGGTGTAGGCCATGAGAAGTAAAAGCACACAGAAGCCAGGGAAAGGTATACAGAAACTCTAAAAGGACCATAGGGGTTGTGGCCAGTGCCAGCAGCATCACAGCACTTAACATTCATCAAGCAACCACTCTGTGCCGTGTTCTGTGCTGGGTGCTAGGGATAAGTTGGTGGCAAGTGGAACCATTGCCCATTTCGGTTAAGTTTAAAATGGAGTGAAAAAACTAATGACTCTTAAGCCAATACTCACACAAATGAATAGAACATTACAAATTGTAAAGTGCTTTGAAAAAAGTTATGGGAACATTTATTAGAGGGATTTGACTTAGTCTTGTGTTCAACAAATGTTTTTCCAGGGAAACTACCAATATGTAGCAATTTGGTTTTCTGGCTACATGAAGAAAACCCACATTGTAGTTATTAGTGTTTTTGCTAGGTAAAAGCAATTTACACACTCCTAGGTGTGCTGAAGTAATTCCCAAAGTCAGGATAAGCCCTATGAAAAGCCTTAAATAGACAATCAGTGGAAAGGAGATGAGGTGTTCAGATAGGGTAAACTAGGAAATATTCTACAGTCCAAACTTTATATAGGCCTCCCAACATAACACAAATGGCCTGAATAAGAACGTCTCTCACACACAGCTACACACAACCAATGGTTGGGTTTTGACAGGAAGAGATATTTTCTGACTAGAAATAATAAAAATTTCCACATGGTGAGACAATCTGACCTGCCAAACACTAGGTTAGGTGTTCTATACTCATTATCTGGTTAGGACCTAATAAACAACCCATCAATTGGGTACTATTTCATCTCAACTTTGCAGAAAGGAAAACAGTATAAGAGATCTTAAGAAATTTGCCCAAGGTCACACGGATGCAAAGCAGTTGAATGGGATTGGAATATAAGTTTGTCTGACTTCCAAGCTGAGCCATAACTAATTTGTTAGACTGAGTGGAAAAACAGTATCCGCTTACGTGAACTCTCACTGGAAAGAGAAATAGAAACTATGGCAGCTTAAATCCAGCAGGGTACTAGCTAATTATCCACTTTAGCTACAGAACTGGCTAGCTAGCTAAAAAAACTCTTTCCAAACAATGTGGTTTCACTTAGGAGTCAGCTGGAGTCCCTGGCTCTATCGACATGCTCCCCGTGCATGGCCTTGTAGGCAAGCATATCATGAAACCATTTTTGTAACTTCAAACATCATACCTGAGACTCTAAATTCAAACACTTTTATCAGGGAATGTACAGGGCGAATGTCTGAAGGTGGGTGCCAGAGGGCCACTGGATCTTGACAACTAGAGCCACTGGGAAGAACATGTCTTTTACCCTAACACAAGACATGGCTTGTTGGGTAACTTGCTCAATGCTTTCTTTGAGCAGTTAAAAAATGTGAATTTCGCATCATGAGTCTATCATTTATTAATTACAATGAGACGATGGATTGGTTTTGTCCTCTCTCATATGGTGACCGAGAGATTGGTAATGTAATGACTGCTCTGAACACTGCTGCAAAGAACCCAAAGGCCGTTTGCAGGCTCAGCAGGACGGAGCATCGATATCAACTGATAAGGTCTCTGGTGGGTGCCAGAATGGAGAGAAAGTGTAACCTTTGGCCACACTTGATGAAGCAATAGTTCCCGAACCTATTTAATCATAAGAATCACAGGGAACTCTGGTCAAAAACACAGATTCCCAGGTCTAGGACAAAGCTACTGAACCTGCAGGAACAGATGCCTGGGAACTGGCATTTTAACGATTGCACCACTGTCAGTTACTGGTATTCTTTTTGTTAACAGCTTCCTCTCCCCCCAGTTCATTGACTGGCCTCCAAGATCCCACCTCATGACGTCTCTTTCTCTTTCTAGCACAGATCTACCTCGTCTATATTCTATCCTCTTTTCTCTCTGTGTGTGGCGGGGTGTTGGTGGTGGTATATGCTGCACATACCTCAAGCTCCTATTCTCCACTTCCCTAGGGACCTCTCCTGATTTTCCTGGCTTGGAAGGAATTAAAAGGAAAAACAACAACGGATACCTACAGTTTATTTTCTTCTCTCATGTCATAACAATTCTAGTTTTCCTTTAAGCAATATAAATCCCTTTGTTCTGCCTGATATTGTGATTAGGAAATGCAGAAAAGAAAGGAATGGCAAAAATTCAATATTTTGTGGTCTTATTTTGCTATTTCTTCACTAGAATATAAGTTCCCTGAGGACAAAAACTTGGCCTGTTTTTTTATGGTGGTATTTTCAGTGTTTTGTCCATATTATGGCACATGTTAATAAATATTCATTAAATTCATGCATGAATGACCAAATTTCCAGACTTGATTTTTCTAGTGCCCTCTTTATATCCATAACTTACCTATTTTTTTAAGGCACAGCTCAAGTCTTACCTCCTTTGAGGATTTCCCTA